TTTCCTGGGGTGCTGGGCGGGGGCCCTGGAGGGATCGCGGGAGCCGCCCCGGCCTCCCGCCCGCAGCAGCCCCGGGAAGGGGCGGTCGCGAGGCGGGGACACCGGCGGCCTCCTCCCGGCTCCTGGGCCGCCCTCTCGGGCCCTGGCGGCCACGCTGAGCCTATTTTTAGGCCTTCGGGGCCGGGTTGCGGGGAGCCGGGAGCCGGGCTGGTGTCCCCTCCCCGGGCCGGACTTCCTCCCCACTTGTTGCAACGCGCCTGGGCCTGAAATGTGCACAGGACTGGGAAGCTCGGGTACCTGGTCCTCCCTGTCCTTGAGGCTAACCGCGAGCGCGGTTACAGCAGTTAAACTGCGGAAAGCTTGCAGGTGTAACGCAGCGTTCAGCTGCCTGCAGTAAGGTTAAACTCCTACCCAGCTGTCACTGAGCTTCGCCAGTTCGTTTACAGTGTTCGTGAAGTCTGGTGTGTTCCCGGGTGCCCTGAGCGCTTGCTCGCCCCCTTGTTTAGTCTTGGAACTCGCCCATGCCCTCGCTTCCTGAAATCCTTGACTCCTACCCACGTTAAACTTTTCTCCGTGGTCTCCTGCAGTCTGAATCGCTTTAGGGTTTAAACATCAGTCTTCGGCCGGCAGAGGCTGGTGGCATGTGGAGTGGCAGTTGTCACTGTTCTAAGCATTCTTACAGTGTGACAGGGAGTGGGGGTGGGGGCCGCCAGTCTTCCTGCGGCTTAGTAGTGGCCGGCCTCTCGCGGGGGCATGTGCTTGTCCCCTGGACGAGCCACAGCTGCCTTTCGCTTCTCAATGGAATCTCCGCTACTTCCAGCCTGCGCGCTGGAAAATGGGCGAGGAAGAATGAGGAAACCGAAGACAGAAAGAGAGTGACTTCCTGACAAAGTGTCCTGACTCCCTGGCTGGGCAACAGTGCCCCCAAGTGACCCCTGCCAGTTTGATTATAAGTGCCCTATGTGTTTGGGTACCCGCCACCCTGCTAAAGCTATAGGCCCCTGGGCGATGGAGGCTAGAATTGTTCCAGGGAAAGACTGGAGAAATGTTAAAGGCCGGAAGGGTGAGGATTGCCAGGTAGGAAGTTCCTGTTTGTTGACAAGCCATGCCTTCTGTTCTTATAACCAGTGATAATGGAAGATCCATACCCCTGTGTGTGTACTGGGAGAGGCGGACACTCCCGGGCCCAGTAGGGGGTACTGCTTGGTTCTCCAAAGAGGAGGGGGAGCAGGTTTGTTAGAGCTCAGGTGGTCTCTAGATCCATTTAATAATGATTAGTCGCTGGATGGCATTAGGGAGGGAAGATCTCCCTTTACCGGAGGGAGTAGATATAAAAAGCTCTTTGCCCGGCAAGCCTGTCATGTTGGACTCCTGTTATTCCAGGCTGCTTGGGAGGCGGAGGTAGAGGATGAAAACTTGGGACCAACCTGAGTAATTAAGCAAGATCCTGTCTCTAAGTAAAGAAATAAAAGCTAGGCTGGGGATGTAGCTCAGTGGTGAAATACCTGCCTAGCTTGCATGAGATCCTGGATTCAGGGGCTGGGGATTTAGCTCAGCGGCACAGCGCCTGCCTGGCACGCCCAAGGTCGTGAGTTCGATTCCCGGTACCGGAACCCCCCCCCAAAAAAGAGAGAGAGATCCTGGATTCAATCCCCACTACTCCCCTTCCCTGCCACACACAACCCTACATGCCAGTGAGCTGATTTTGCTGAATTATTGTTTGAATAGGGTCCTTGGAAAAGGCTTTGTCCAGGTAAGATGTTGTAATGAGTGTTTTTTTTTTTCTTTGTATCAAGATCAGGCCTTTGTGACACTGACCACAAACGATGCCTACGCCAAAGGTGCCCTCGTCCTAGGCTCATCTCTGAAACAGCACAGGACCACTGGAAGGCTGGTTGTGCTCGCCACCCCGCAGGTCTCGGACTCTATGAGGTGAGGACTGAGCTGTCTGTCTGTCTGTCTGCGTGCCTGCCTGCCTGTCTGCCTGTCCTCGGGAAACTTGATGCTTGCGCATCTGCCCATCCTGAAGGCTCTGACATCCTTCTTCCGATTTCTGCCCCTGAACATTGAAGTCACATCCTTTCTAAGGGTTAGGCCTGAGCAGGGAAAGATGAAACTGCTGAGTGAAAGACACTGGGTCTGAAACCTTTAGTTTCGGGGAGATACTCAGACCAGGCTCCCTTCTATGGGGCAGTGCTCTGGCCCTCCTCTTCCTGATTACGACAGGGTAGAAGGACTTTCTCTTCTCTAGGTCTGTGAGCGTTTCCCCCAGGCATTTCCTGCTGGAGTGTATCTTTATATCTTCACAGTTCACTTACTTCTTTCCTAAAAGGCCTCAGTGGCTATAGTGTTTCTCATTTCAAACCAGCACAACCCTCAGGTAACTTTGTACACAACGTGGCAGTTTTCTGCCTTGCTAGTGGACATTTATAACCTGAAGACCTTTATTCATAGCATAATACAGTGGCATCTTTATTGAAGGGCTTTCTGAACTGAGAGTTTTGCTTGAGGAAACATCCTGAGAGACACAAACTGCCTGTTCAACTTGATTTGTTGAAATTAAACGTGGAGTTATCTGAATGAACTACCTGGTTCCTAAATACTAACTTTTGGGCATGGTAGCGGTTTTCATTGTGTTTATTTTGGCAGTCTTCTAGCCCTTTTAGAAATTGAAGCATATATATCCCAAGGGCATCTAAGAAGTGGGTATTATAGATGCATTCATATATCTTCCACACTAATGACCTTGATGCTAAAGATTTATTTAAAAAGATGCCAAAAAGACTGTTTCCTATGGTGAAGTCCATTAGTGAAGATGGAGGCAGAAGCCAGACCTAGTCTTGCACGCCCAGCAGCACTGATTCACTGTAGTTCAGCGATGCCTCTGTTTATCAGAAAAAAAAAAGTCAGGCTTACTATGTGAACTAACGCATATTTTTTGCACACTTTTGGATACAGAATACAATACCACATTTTTCCGCATATCCGACATTGTTATAAATTTTTGATAATGGCTTGTTTGTGTCATACATTTCCTCTCATGCTATAGTGTCTTTCCTCAGTCTATCTCACCAGGGCCCTGAGAAGCTCTCTAAAATAAAAATTTAGTTGATTCTATGCATGGAGAAGTGTGGCACCTTAAAAACCAGAGTGAGTCTCATTATGCCCAAATAGAATGCTAAGCATGCAATGAATGCTGGTTATACTGGACTCTAAAAAAAAAAAAATGGCGAACCAGTAGCTACACCTTTTAACTTCTTTCAGGACACAGAGCTTCAGGCAATTATCAGCCAGTTTCTTTAGCAAAAGCCATTAGTTATAGACTTCATTATACATATTATATGTGCATAATATCATTTGTAAGACATATGCAATAGTCAGCAAGTATCAAATCTACTAAAATATCATTGTCAAGTACATAGGCTGGTGCAAAGATATATGTAATGTCTTACCAGATTAATTTCCCAACTTGCCTGGCATTCAGTGACATAATAAAAAATACAAAACAACTTCCATAATAATAATGTTTTAAGAAAAGTAATTCAGATACTCACCAGGAACAGTTATTGCTTTAGTGAAATTAGTTGTACAGGCAAATGGATACAATTTGTTCCAAAGTATAATAGGACAGATTTAAGGGGGTGTGCTATACCAAAGTGGCAGATTGTTCTGGTAATTGATGGAAAAGGCAGTAAGGCACCAGTCTTCTGTGAGTGGGTCACTTGTGAAAAGATGCTAAGTGCTGTTTTCTGGAATTCGTTTTGACAGGAAAGTTTTAGAGACAATCTTTGATGAAGTCATCACGGTAGATGTCTTGGACAGTGGCGATTCTGCTCATCTTACCTTAATGAAGAGGCCTGAGTTGGGTGTCACACTGACAAAACTTCACTGCTGGTCACTTACACAGTATTCAAAGTGTGTGTTCATGGATGCAGATACTCTGGTGAGTGTGACTTTTGATCGCTGGAATGATGTACATAGTAATGGAGACCTGGTAGGCATTCAAAGAATACTGTCGAGGCTTGAGCATAAATTTCAGATAAAACCGGTGTCATGCGAAGTGTTAAGTGATGAAAAATAATAGTTCTAGGCTGCCTTAAAGCTGTCATCATCTTTTGTGTTAAATAACGTAGAAGTTTAGAAAACCGCTGCAGCAAAACATTTCCGTCATGCTTTTTCCCCTTTCAATCAGGTCCTAGCAAATATTGATGATCTTTTTGAGAGAGAAGAATTGTCAGCAGCCCCAGACCCAGGGTGGCCCGACTGCTTCAATTCCGGGGTCTTTGTCTACCAGCCCTCAGTTGAGACATATAAGCAGCTGCTGCACCTTGCTTCTGAGCAAGGTAGTTTCGATGGTACGTACCTCCTGTCTTCGTATCTGATAAGCTATTAAATTTCCAGGGGCTTTTGTTCTCAGAGAAATAAATGTTATGGTTTCTTGTGCCTGGAGGATAAACGAGATGTAGCAAGCAATTCAAATTGTGTTCTCTTTGGAAATACTGGGTGTGTGTGTGTGTGTGTGTGTGTGTGTAAGTCAGTCACGTGCATCTTTTTTTCCGTGTAGATGAATAAGATTAACCTAAACTAAGGTAGAAAACTTTTTATGAGGCTTGCCATCAAATGACCTAAATTATAGTATGATAAATGTACAATGATTATTCAAAAATAAGAAAAAAATATTTGACAAATAACAAACTTCTGTCTTTAGGTCTGAGAGCATAACCATGTCTGCCTAGCATACACGGGGCCCTAGCTTCAGTCCCCAGCATAAAACATCACCACCAGCCCACTTCAGTCTTTAAACCTGGGTAAACTTTACCTCCAGAGGGTTGACAGCCAGTGGTAATAGGAAGATCAAGCATTGTCTCCATGGAAACTGGGGGAACGAACTTGATAATTTGGTTGTCATCCCTGATCTTTGCTTCCAAGCTGTCATTTTCCTAAGGCTGTGTGTCAGCTGAAGGAGTATCTGCAAGGCTAAAGGAGCAGAGCACAAAGTTGGGAGCATTTTTCTGTGTGTGTCTGTAGGGCTGTTGACTGTTCACGATATAGAGCGTGTATCCTTTGGAGAATTTTTTCTGTTTTTTTTTTTTTTTTTTGGCGGTACTGGGAACCAACTTCAGGCCCTCAAACATGCCAAGCAAGTGCTCTACCACTGGTGAATTTTGATCAAATAAATTAATAAGTATTCTTCCATGTCAGGCTGATCTCTGAAATAGTAAGTCACTTTTAAAAAGACAGAACACATGGGCCAGGGATATAGCTCAGTGGCACAAGCACCTGCCTGGCAAGTGCAAGGTCCTGAGTCGATTCCCAGTACCAAAAAATAAAAAATAAATAAAAAAATAAAAAGACAGAACATAACAAAACCACACAAGATGAAACGGGTAGTTCTTTTTAAAATGATTCTTGGTAGTTCTTTTAGAAAAAGAAAATGCTCCATATACAAAGCAAGAGGACATGCTCTAGGAAGCTGGCTGAGCAGTGACATTGTGGCAGAACATAGGCAGGGAGTGTGGAGCTGGAACCGAGGCCTGGACCCAGCAGCAGACACTGCACTGGGGGCTTATCCCTGCCTTGTTCCCTCTTTGAAGCTGATCTGAGACCTGCAATCATGCATGCATCTTTTGTTACTTGTTTTTTGTTTTTTTGGGGTACTAGGGATTGAACTCACGACCTTGCACTTGCCAGACAGGCGCTTATGCCACTGAGCTATATCCCCAGCACATGCATCTTTTGGAATTAGCAGAACAAGCTTTTCTCAATAGACAAGTGTGCTGATAAAAGATTCATTTCTATTAAGTAGCTATCAAGTTTTAAATAGAACTGCTAAACCATTTTAAAACAATAAACTGAACAGATTGTTAGATTATGTTAAAACTTGAAACTTAAAGCAAAATTGGGCTTTTTGTTCTTGCTATTTACAAAAGTTGAGTTCTGTGTGGCCGCTTGATTTTGAATTTGGGATTTGTAGCTGCACGAAATTTCACTGAAGAGGATAAGGAAGTTGAACTTTTGGTCTTGTGTCATGATTTGGCTGGTTTACATTCTACGCCAGTAGTTTTCAATCAGGGGCGATTCTGGGCTGTTTGGTGATCTCTGGAGACGTTTTTGTCTGTCCTGAGGGAGGGCAGGAGCTGTAGCATCTGGCAAATAGAAGCCAGGGATGACTCTGAGTATCCCACAGCACACAGGACAGCCCTTCACAGCAAAGACTCATCCAGCCCACTGTGTCACCAGTGCTGAGGATAAGAAACTCTCCTCTGTGCTAAGGCATGAAATGCTCTAAAATAGAGCCGACGTATCTGACCGTAATGAATGGCAGTATCTGACAAGAAGTGTAGTCTTGTTTTAAGCGATCTGAGTAAGACAATATGTTGAACATTTGCTGTGGCCAGTAAAACCATGCCATTTTACCAGCGCGTTTTTAGATCTCACTATTTTCCTTTCATAGAAGGAAGGAAAGCTGTATGTTAGTACTCAAGTTCACAGCATGTATTCGACTGCTGATATAGACACCATTAGCTTTGGATAAAAGGAAGAAGAGAATAGTTTTAGCGGAAGTCCACTGTTGGTCTTAACCTTCCCGTCAGAGCATGACTTTCTTCACCTCCTGTATAATAGGAGGTGAAGAAATAATTTGAAGGAATTATTTCCTCCTATAATATAAAGGAAGTAGATGCAATTTGGCCGGACATTCAGTGCAGCTATTCTCAATTTCAGTAAGTGAATCACATTCTAAAGAGATCTTTTGGCCTGCCAACTGCCTGAAACCCATATGATTTTAATCTGAAAAGAGAATCTAGCTTCTAACCTAGAAGGGTATTACATGCTGTTGGGAGATAAGAATTTAGATACCAAACAGCCATGTGCCATAATAAATCATCCAGAGTACAATTTTAAAATAGGAAACTCATTAACTGGGGGAGGCGAACCTGGACCATGTGCTATGTCTGAGAGTCTAGAGGCACTGTTGTTAAACAGCCTGCGTGTGTGGAAAGTGCTCAACTAGAAGGCACTTTCTGCTGTTTCACCCAGAACCTGAAACCACTGTGAGAGTCTCCCTGTGCCTGCTAGCACATTCCATTATTCAGCAGCAGGGTTTCTGGACGCTGGCCTTCCTCAGAGGTACTCCACTTACTAGCTGGTTGTAGCAAAGGATTGAATTTGCTCTCTTAATAGAAATGCTTAATTGAAAGAGTTAAGCTGTCATCTCTGCAGATGAGACTTTCATTCTCAACATGTTTCGGTTTAGCAGAAGCATAAACTAGCAGCTCTTAACTGAACAGTCGTTTCCACTTGAAATATATGTTGCTGAGCTTTACTACATAATAGAAAAACACTCCCTAACCTGGATGCCTGCCCTTCTCTGGAGGGGTTTGCTGTGTGCTTAGATCACTACCTGTATAACAGAAAAATTTATGGGACTTATGCTTGATATCATTAAAATATTTGTTTATATACAGCATCCTTAGTCTACAGGAGTAACCTTGCTTTCCTCAAATTTTTCAGTATGTCTATTTTATAAAAATAATACAATTTTTATTTTAAAGCTTGTTTAAGAATTATTGATGTATCACACCATAGGCACTAAGATGAATATATTCAACTGCTCTACCATTGCATATATATATTTTTTACTATCTGTAAGTGCCCCCCTGCCCCCAGGCTTATTCAACAGGGGCTGAAGTCCCAGTATTTTTAGGTTAGTGTTACAGGAGACTAGTTTTGCTGTTGTGTCTGTTTGAATGTCATAGAAGTACTACTCAACCTCTTGCCCATGTTCAAAAGAAATTGATGGGGACCTGCTGTCCAATGACAAGTCCCATAGACCGCTGGTGAGATTTTGCAGCTGCTTCCAGAGGCCCTCTAACCTGAAGGAATGTGGTGGTCATTGTCCTAATCGGCAGCCCTGTCATCACACCACAATCCCCCCATGCCTTTGGCCAAGAGAAAACTCCTAATATGGCAAACCGTGCTAGGTACCCTGACTTCTCTTTTCTTTCCAAATATCCAGGGTGTTAGAATTTAGAACTAGTGACTACATGTCTAATTCATCGCTGATGTCTCATTTTCCATAGCAAAGAGTCTCAGTCCAAATTGCTGCACTGTTGCTTTGTGTTTTCAAATTGTCTTCGTACTTGCTTCATCAGTGAAGTTACATTTCCTGCAAAGTTGAACAATAGCGGTTATGAAATAGATATACACTCACATGTTATAGGATGTGACAAGCTATAAGGGTCAGTGTTTATCAGTAAGAAGGGGAAAAGAGGTGATGGTGTAGAGGATACTAATCAAAAGTTGTCCCCTCCATGTACTCATGCGACATGAAGCTGATACACTTGACTCTTAATTTGACAAAGTCGGTCTGAATGCACATCGGAGTTTATTTTCTTCTCCCCCACAACTCTTAATATATCTTAAATTAAGGATTCTTGTGCAGTTGAAGAGTTTCATGTTTGAAAATTGCTGTGTATTAAATTTTATCTGTATGTATTAGTTTCAAAAACCTAAATCAGAGGAATTCATATTTTCCAATTTTTAAATTTTGGTATTACTTAGTTTAATTATTGTAACCTAAATACCCTAAACTTGTTACTGGTATGCTGAAATTTTGGTCTGTAGTTGAATTTTCAAAAAAAAGCAAAAAACAGAGAACGAATTGGTGGCGCAGTAGTAAGTTTGGTTTTACTGTAAATGGAATCCAAGATCTGCTATGAGGTCATTATAGCTGGAACTTTCAGATTCCAAATAGATACCAATACTTTGAACAGAGTAGAAAAATGTTTTGAAATGTTAAACAGAAACGGTTTGGTCCTGAATTCTAGTAAAGTATAAAATTGACCTCACAGCCACCTCCTCTAATCTTTATAGTTAATTAGGCTTCTTGCTGGACCTGCCCAAAAAAGGAATGAAGGACTGAGGTAGTATTTCAAGATAGGACTTGTCCAAACCACACGAGCTCAGCAACTCTGCTGCGCCTCGCTTGGTTTCCTGATGTGATAGGTTCTGCGCTGACCATCAGCTTCCTTTGGGAGGCTTATTGTTGCCCTTGCAGTTTTGTATCAGTTGGTCCGAAAATAACTACAGTATTCTCTTGCATTATGTCATTTAATTGATAATTCAGGTAGTATCTCGAATAAGATGGAAAACAAAAGCCATAACATATAATAGCAAAATAAATGAGTACACATAGGGGTTTTTTATATATAAGAGCTATTTTTTATCTCACTGTACCTATGAGTCTGGTTTTTAACTTAGCCATCTGTTTGTCGCTAGCTTTGTAACCAGCTGAGACCATGAACCCCGTGAGAAATGGAGAGGGAAGAAGGGACTAGCGTGTTGTGTGTACACA